CAGGGGATCTCGTAGTCGAGCAGTCTCGACTAGAGCTTTCTTACTTGTTTTTACTCTTTTTTTAACTTAAGTAATATTCCTCTTGGCTGTTAGTCTACGACTTAGCTTAGCTCAAATTAGAATCTCAAGTTTGGACAAGTATTTCATTATGTAACTTCTTCTAAGCTTCTCGCGCAGGCTTTTCAGAAATTTTGTTTATAAATATTACGAAATTGTTCTTGTTGTTGTTGTTGCTGGTGTTTGAGAGAAGTGTTCTTAATTGGCTTTTAAGTGCCTGGCACCCCACGGGCAATTAAACGAATTAAGATTGCCCGAATGCTGCCGTTGCAGTTGCTCGGTTGACAAATGATCTGCTGTTGCAACGTGCAACGTGCAACTTGTTGCAACGCGCAAACGGCAAGCAGGCGTCTGGCAACGGGCGACGGCCGACGGGCAGCGAGGCCTGTGAACGACATCAATTAGCAATGTTTTTAATGCGGTCGCATTTGGCGTGAAACAGCAAAGAGCCGAAGCCACAGAGAGCCAGGTAAAATGCGTACGAGAGCAAAACGCCTCGAGTCAATCAATTTGGCCGTGTGCGTGTATGTATGTGTGTGTCGAGCGACGCGTATTACAGGCCAGGCGAGCGGCCTGGACTCCGTTTCCCTCCCGCTCGGCGCTAGAGCCAAAAGTGCTTTTGGGCCGGCGCAGCCTTGGACGCAATGGGGCTGGCAGATTGCGATGTCGATGTCGATGGCGATGCCGATGCCAGATTGGAAGCCATTTGAAAAGGCGGCGCTCGAATTACGCGTTGACTTACGCAAATTTTGTGCCTTTTTTTTTTGTTTTCATTTTTTTCTTGGAACGCCGCCAGGCTCAAAGCAGATGGCGATGGAGCTCTGCACAAGCACGCAGCGACAACTCCAACGCTCTGGCACACCCTAATGCTATCTGCCTTCCCAGAGACTGGAAACAGCGCTTGGATTTTAATTGAAATCTGCGTTGCCTGACCAACAACATCTAACTAGTTTACGCATTCGAAAGGCCCACGTTGTACGGGTAATTAAAAACTTGTCGTTCGCTCTGATACTCTTGAGATTTGCTAAAAGGTTTAGTAGCTAAGTCGTTAGAAATGCATTTGGATA